CCTCCATCACTCCACCTGCCCTTACGAGACCCTCCATCACTCCACCTGCCCTTACGAGACCCTTTATCGCTCCACCTGCCCTTACGAGACCCTCTATCGCTCCATCTGCCCTTACGAGACACTCTATCGCTCCATCTGCCCTTATTGCCTCAGATTGTAAAGCGCAGCACAGCAACAAGCTCTGGGAAGAAGGCACAGTCCCCTCTGGTGAATTCATCAGAATAAAGCTGCAGAATGGGAACCGCTGTGTTGAGTCGGCAGTAGGATGTGGTGTTCAGCGGCTGTAAATACATGCTTGTAGTTTGAATGAAGCTTTGTTTCATGTGTTGTTGACTTGTATTTGCATTTGTTTATTGTGATGGTTACTTTTATTTGTTCTTTTACTCATTTATTCATGTTTCTTATTGTTGTCATTATATAAAATGTAATTAATGTATGTATTAATTCATCGATTGACTGACAATTGAGATGTTTTACTGCATTTAGCAATATAAATGTATTCATGCATAACTGTCATATGACAAAACAAATTACATTTTGCTTGTTTTATTAAATTATATTTTTAGTATATAAAAAAGTTATATAATTAAGTATTGGGCAGCATTTAATATTATTATTTTGTTTAAGTTTTGGGGTGGGCTAATTTGCTAATGCAATTCATTCTGAGGTAATATTAATTTTTAAGGAGTGATACTTACATTTTTCGAGTATAAAATCAACATTTTTCTCCAAAAGAGATCTTCGAGCAGCTGAACATCTCCTTTGTGCAGACATTACAAACGCAGAGGAAAACTGTTCTAGGTTGTGCTGTCGAGTCACTGATGTTATGAAGTGTTGATGTACACCTGTACACCAAGTACACCTGTCGCTCATATAATGCAAGATCATGGAAAGATACCATAGTTGTATGTAACAATCATAATGACAAAACAGAAAATATAAAGATCATTGGTTTGTGAATCTTATTTTTGGTTTGTGAAACTTATTTTTTCGCACCAAAAAAAAAAAAAACAGAAAAACGACAGAGGTACGTACTACTGTCAGGTTTTTTTTTTTTTTTTTTGGTCGAAATTTTGAGTTTCTCTGATCTTCTTGAAACTCTGGATTCTGATAGAGGGCCATGGGACTTAGACCTGAGTGCAAAAATGGAGGCTCTAGACCCTTCCAGAACTGAGATATTGAGATATTTATAATGGCATAAATGCTACGTGGGGTCTCAATATCTCAGCTCTGGAAGGGTCTAGAGCCTCCATTTTTGCACTCAGGTCTTCTATCAGAATCCAGAGTTTCAAGAAGATTGGAGATACTTATTTTTTCGCACAAAAAAAACCCCAAAAAAAAATTTTTTTGGGGGGTCGAAATTTTGAGTTTCTCTGATCTTCTTGAAACTCTGGATTCTGATAGAGGATTCTGATACCCTTAAGTGGGTGAAAAAAAAATCTCTAATCTTGTATTTGGGTCAAAAATGGGCACCCGTAGAAATGAATGGGAAAAACTATAATTTAGAACATTATAAAATAAGCCAAAATAAGACACCGCAGGTGACAGCAAAGTCACTTCATCTTTAGGTTTTAGCTCTAAGAACTTATTGGAATGATATTTTAAAGCATAAAAATAAGCATAATTTACATAGAAAATATGGTCCTTTTTGAAATAAATAAATTCAAAAATACCCCCCCCCCAAAAAAAAAAACAAAACAAAACAAAAAACACCACCATAAATGGATAGACAAAACTTTATCGAAGACAGTGATAATATTTATAATAAATAAAAATTAGGATCACACCCGAGTCCTCTGTGCCCACATGTGTCCAAAATTACAAAATTACAGGATTAAGGGCTATAAAGTGAATATGGTTTTAGAGCTACGAATGAACATTATTCCACGATTGTTCAAACAGCTTCATCAAAAGCACACATTTTATTTAATAACCAGCAGACATTACAAAAGCGAAAGAACTTCAAAAGTAGAAAACATTTTAAAATATACAATTTGTAAGTGCCATAGCATAAGAGCTTTGATGGACAATATGGCACATTGGGGATTTTTAAAATATTTGAAAGAGTTCTAAAAGTAAATATTTATAAAAACTGTTGAAATTTTCTGAATAGAAAAATTGAGAAAACGAGTTCCCTGATAATTTACTAATTGAATACCCCCCCTCCCCCCATTTAAGGGGACAAGAACGCATACTGATATTTAGTTTTGTAAGACATTTTCATACTATTTTTGTTCCAAATCATGAAAACGTGCCACTCAAGTATGTAAAAGCATCGTGAACACTTGCAGTATGCAGTCGATTTATCCTGCACAGTTGAAAAGCACTCAGGTGGAACTGACGGAAAGACTGCACACAGAACTGTGGGAAAATCACAGAGGTCTTGTCATGCGAGTTCACTTTTTGGGGCTGTAGTGTGCGAGAGGCGAGCCCTGGACGTAAGTGAGAATGGCGTTCTGGAGGAAGCTGGCTCTCTGCGCCTCGTCCTCACGAATGCGCTGGATCTCTCCTTCTCGAATGCGCAGCCGCTCCAGCAGAGAGGAGATCTCGCTCTCTTTGTCCAGAAGGGCCTCTCTGTGGGCGGTGCTGAGAACTGATCCAAAACACAAACACAGTGTCAATGAGCCTGCAACACGCATCAGGTTACACACACACACACACAGAACAAAAACAAGTCTTGCAGTTAGCCTTCACTATGTGCAGTTAGTTACATAAACAATCCAGGTATTACAAGGCACTTTTATAAACTATTTGTTGCTGGCTGGGCAACGATTAATCACATCAAAAATAAAAGTGTGTTTGTGTACTGTGTGATCAATTTTTTAATTAATCCTAACTGACATTTATTTTTCTTGCAGGAATAATATCCATATGCCTCCAAACCCTCATAAAACCCTCTATCAGTGTGTGTGTGTGTGTTAGTGAATCATGTCAGAATATAACAAAAGGGGAAATTAAAATAGACGGATGTTTATTTTCATAAACACGTGAATTTTAGTAACAAAGTGAAGCAATCAAGAAAACAGTATTAGCTTCGCCCTAGTAACAGAAGGCTTTGCATATGAAGAACCAATCAAATTTCAGGGGAATTATGTAATGCATCATGCCACTTTTTGCCATGTTGGACTATTCTATAAAAACGGTTGTATTCTTTTGCCGTTGGGATTTGTCTGAGATTCTCCGGTCGTGATTAAAGCATATTCAAAGGCATTGTCTGGAGTCTGTCTAGTTAATGTAGCGCAGAAAGCTACAGGGGTTGGACAATGAAACTGAAACACCTGGTCTTACAACACAATAATTTGTTAGAATGGTGAGGGCCTCATACAGCACCAATTGACAGATAGAAGTCCTTCACAGTGACCAGAGGGATTATGAGCCGTTCCTCTTCCAGAACAGTGTCCAGGTCACTATATGATGCTGGTGGACTCGCTCCTCCAAAACACCTCAATAATATTCAGATCTGGTGACTGTGCAGACCATGGGAGATGTTCAACGTCACTTTCATCTTCATCAAACCCTTCTGTCACAAGTCTTGCTGTGTGTGTTGGTGCATGATCATGCTGATACACGGTTTGAGCATCAGGTGCTCATGATCCTCCAGAAGGGTTTGGTAGTCCTCGGCAGTGTCGTGTCCATCAAATACAATCAGGATTGTCATGATATTGGAGCTCAAACCATCACTGATCCACCCGTGCTTCACTCTGAAGATTGGCCGCCAGGCATATAGATGTGAAACCTCCAACATTGGCCAGTGTTTCAGTTTCATTGTCCAACCCCTGTAGTTGGTGAAGCTTACTAGACACTTTGATGGTGTTATAGGAAAAGAGACGAGACGTCGTCCGACTCAAAGCCAGTTGTCGACTGCAGTATAAAGATTATTAAGTGCCGATTGGAGGTGTGAAAGAAGGGAAAAATCTACCACAATTGTGTATAATTATTTTGTATTTATAAACACACATATGCATTTATATTATATATAAAATACATAAATTATCTCTAAATGTACATATACACACATGCAAGTATTTCTTAAATATATAAATACTTATGTGTATTACAAAATAATTATACACAGTGCACACACTTTTATTTTGGATGGGATTAATCGTTGCCCAGCACAATAATCTGCGTTTACCCTTCATCTCTCTCTCCAGAGCAGCGATCTTCTCCTTCAGGCCGCTCTGTGTGGTTCTCTCAGCCTGCAGGTGACCGATCTGCTCCTGAAGCTCCACGCGCACTCGCGTCACTTCCGACACTTTCTCCTGCTCTTTACCTGCAAGGTCCTGTGGTTAAGACACAACAAGAGGCCATTTACATTTATTGATTTAAAGGCACACTATGCAGGAATTCCATTTTTGTCAAACAGCGCCCCCTAGAGTCGCTGTGGAGTACTTGTATTTAACGTTACTGTCGTAAATACCACTCACGACCTGATACCCATTTGAAGCTGTTATATTAAAGGGGGCATATCATGCTAAATCCACTTTTTTAGCAGTTTGCAGTTTAACTGCTCAGGACAAACAAGGGACTCGAGAACAACCATCACAAAAAAAAAAAAAGAAAGAAAAAAGAAATGTATTTGTTTAAACCCCCCTTGTATGTTCTCTGAAACCACTTAGTTAAGAACTACTGCATTACAGCTACAGCTAGGTTAGTGTGTAGTGTGTGTGTGTGTATATATACACACATGTATGTGTGTGTGACTACATATACAGCAGTGGATCATCCAGGAAATGACACAGTATTAAGAATCAAGGGTATGTAAACTTTTGAATTTGATCATTTTAATAAATTCAGGAGGGGGGGGGGGTGTCTGAATGGACTATACATAAACATCTTTTATGTAAAATATCTTATTCAGCGCAATAATAAAAAAACATGCATTTCATATGATCCCTCTTATTTTGTTAAAACATTTAGCAGATTCTTCAAGGTGTATGTAAACATTTGAGCACGACTGTGTGTGTATGTGTATATATATATATATATATATATATACATACATACGTACACACACATAATGTATACACATAAACCTAGCTGTAGCTGTGAACATGCTGAGTGAACATACAAGGGGGTTTTAAACAAATGCATTAAAGCTAACACAACTAAAAACTATCTGGAACTTAATTATTAAAATTGGAATAATGATTCTAAAACTTTCATATCGATTTTAATCTATAATTAATTAGAATGATTACTAATTGAATCTATCATTACTCATAATTTCTCAGAATGTTTAATTTTTTGGTAACACTTGGCAACTCCAAATAAGGTTCACAGGTACAATAAGGTTAACATTAGTAAATGCATTAACAAACATGAACTAACGATGAGCAATGCATTAGTTACAGTGTTTGTTAATCTTTGTTAATGTTAGTTAATTTAAATACAGCTGTTCATTGTGTGTTCATGTTAGTTCACAGTGCATTAACTAATGTTAACTAATACAACCTTTGATTTTTAATAACGTATTAGTAAATGTTGGAATTAATATTAACTAAGATTAATAAATGCTTCATTCTTAGTACATGTTAACTAATGAACCTTATTGTAAAGTGTTACCAATTTTTTCATTACTCAGAATGTGCTCAGTGGGGGAGTCGCACAGGTTGAGAAGCTCAGTGGTCAGTACCTGCTGTAGCTCCTCTATCCTGCGGCGGAGCGAGTCCATCTCGATGTTCTGCTGGCCCACCCTGGCGTGCAGCTCAGAGACCGTTTGTTTCTGCTGGGTGCAGTGGTTCTGCGACTCGTCCCGAGACTGACGAACCGCTCGCAGCTTCTCCTCCAGGCTGATCAGGTGCTGCTGCTGCAGAGCCATCAGAAGAGCTTGCGGTTTTGAGGAACAAAAACCACCTGCTGATGTGGTTTAACAATTCAAGAAGTGTTTGCATACCTCCTCCAGTCGCACTTGATTTCGCACTTTCCCAAGCTCCTCCTCGGCTTGAGCTCTCTCGGTCACTAGAGACGCTTTCGCCCTGCTGAGATCCTACATGCAAAAGACAAACTATGACTCAAGTGCAAATGTGACTTATTAATGCACCATTAAAAACGATGATATATCAAAACCAATAAAAATGTCGACGTTTTGATTTTCAACTAAAAAACGGAAAGCACTGTGAAATCGACACACTCAGCATCTCAGTAGGCTGCTGCAGTTTTTAATACTCAGAGTTCAGTAGGCTGCTGCAGTTTTTAATACTCAGAGTTCCCCGTGAAAACAAGTACGCTGGCCGCATTAAAATAAAACATGCAATTGTGGACACTCAACCTTAGTTTTCAATTGGAATGAATAGTTCAATAAACAAGAAGGTAACAAGACGAGACTGACATGACACCTTCATAACCATGACATGATATGTTTTGAATATGAAGTAGGGTTTACGACAACTGTCATTAAGTGTCTTTCGCTCAATAATGACATTTTGAATGCAAATATGACATTGTTTAAGATGTCTTTGTTATGACATCTTGACATAAACCAATACATCATAACCTGTCAGTGTCTTTGTCATGACAACTTGACATTAATGAAGTTAAACTGTCGAGTGGTTGGCTTTCACATTGGCTGTCATGAGGCATTAGAACTGTGTCATGAATATTTTTCGTGACCTCAACTACAGTGGTACACATTGAATTTGTCATTAAAAAGTTATAATGGCTTCATGACAGCCAATGTCAAAACCAACCAGCTGACAGTTTAATGTAATGTTAACCCATAAAGCTAGGTGCTTTCTTAAGTTTGATCACTAATCTGCTATGTCATGTTTATGACAGGTTGTGTTGTCTTAGTAATGTCAAGTTGTCATGACAAAGACACTGACAGGTTATGATGTATTGGTTTATGTCAAGGTGTCATAAAGGTGTCTCAAACAATGCCATATTTGCATTAAAAAAGCCATAACTGAGTGAATGACACTTAATGACAGTTGTCACAAACATGCATAAAACTTCCTTCATATTCATAACATATGTCATGATTATGAAGGTGTCATGTCAGTCTTATGCACACCCCTTCAAGTAAAGTATTTTCATTATTTACTCTCTTTCCAAAACTTAATGCTGTTTAGTTTTTGCAAGGAACACAAAAGTGGACATAAAAAGCATTAAATAAACTATAAAAGTGTTGATTGTGACTGCTGTGTCATATTACCATAACCATATACGAGTTTGGAACGAGACGATTACATAATGACACATTGCTGATGTGCTGCAGTGATTATGTATTTTTGTATGAAAAGCATATTAGCACTAATGGTTTCATCTACCCGAAGACAAATATTTTTTTAATGGGTTTTGGTTAAATGTCTGAAATAAGATCTGTGGTGAACACAAGCTCAAGATATTTACACCTTTTACTCTACAACATAAAATACATCAGTAATACCTCCCTACCAGGGATGCGGGACGCAAACTAGCTTTACGCTATATGCCCCTATGTACACAGCATCGGTTGTCAAGTGTAACAATGCTTAGTGTATAGTCCCTGTTAAATAAACAAATAAAATAAAAAATTAAAATACTGATTTTTGTTTACTTGTCTTCAAAAAGGCTGTTGGCTAAATGGGACTACAGAGGTTGCGGGATCATCTACTCACTAGTCTCTTTCACAGCCTCATTGTGTTATGGCTGTGTCTGAAATCTCCACTCAAACCACTACTCCCTACCCCCTATTTGTAGGGGGTAAGGAGTAGAGCACTATATAGTGAGCTCACCAGCATAATAGAAACACCACTTTCGGACACTACTCGATCGTCTCTCGGTGCCGTTGATTACGTCATTGCTGTCGCCAATCCACCAATCAGCACAATGCATGATGGTATGTAGGGCTTGGGTTATTCAAAATGCATTCTGGGATACATTGAGTGGACTATATAGGGAATAATAATCATCACTATACATTCAGACAGCACTACAAAATGGCAAGCTCCCTGTATAGTCCACTATATAGTGAGTAGTGGGAGATTTCGGACACAGACAATTTTTTAAAAAAAGACTGAAAGAGTTATGGGAAGCTGAATGGTGATGTTGAAATCTTGACCGTGGTGTAGTTCGTTCGTTTTTTAATTCTGGAGAACGTATTCAGACTTAATTTGTGAAGATTATACATGTAAGCATGTAAGAATCATAAAGTTTAGAGCTTATTTTCTGCAATAATCTAAAAGCCAATGGACGGATCCTATTGGAGTTTTGTTGAAGGAAACATGGTCATGCCAACTTATGGTTTGGCCTACAAAAATACATAATCACTGTAGCGCTCTATATTTCATTAATCTTGAGGTTAGTTTTGGGAAAAATCTTGTCTACTTCTTCTAATTGGATCCGCTGTCCCTCCAGTTTGAGGATGCGTTCTTGAAGAGCTCTTTCACTTTCTTCCTTGTGCCTTGTCAGGTGATCCACCTGGAGAAAAAAAGGATAATTTATGTTTAAAATACAAGTAAACCTACAGTAAAAATCTCTGGGTTTCACATCTTCACCTCTTTCTGTCGCAAACTGTCCACGTCTTCAAGTGCCTGCTTGGATCTTCTCTTCTCCATGTCCAGCCGTTCTAATGGGACAAAGGAAACATTCCCAATTTAAAACCAATCTGAAACACAATCTATTGTACCCGAGCTGGAAGTCATGTGACACCTTCAGTTTGGGCGAGTCGCAGCTTGAGTTCAGCCGTGGTGTTTGTGAGTTCCTGCTTCAGCTCGAAGATCTGATCCTGTTGCGTTTTACATCTGCGTTCGCTCTCCTCCAGCTGTGCGTTTTTAAGGTTCAGGTTAAATCACACACACTCAACACTCTCCATCATATGCAGTGCTTCGTCTCTGTACCTTGTTCCGAAGCTGGAGGTTCTTCTCTGACACACTGTTCACCTCCTTCAAAAGCTTGGCTTCCCTCAGAGAGCTATCCTACAAACCAAAAATCATTAGAAATTACCATAAATTAATACAAAGTTAAATGATCTAGTATTATATCGTTTCATCCAAAAAACTCTGGATTTGCCAATTATTTTTTTTTTTTTGAAGGAATTCTCTTATGCTCAGCAAGGCTGCATTTATTTGTTAAAATACGTGAATTTCAAAATGTAATTTATTCCTGTGATCAAAGCTGAAATTTCAGTGTTGTACGTCACACGTAGGCTCACTATTGGCCGACGCTGGTCATGTGTGTGATGCGTGTGATGTACAACACTGTTACACTACGTGAAATCTCGAGGCCCACAGAGAAGGAAAAGAATAGTTAAATAAAATCATTTTTGCGCACAAAAAGTATTCTCGCTGCTTGATAAACTTAAGACTGAGCCACTGTAGTCACTCGGACCATTTTAACAATGTCTTTCATAACTTTTCTGGCCCGGCAAGTTTCAATCCCTTAGAAGCCTATGAAGGAGTGATGCAGCTCTCAGATTTAATCAGAAATATATTAATTTGTGTTGCAAAACGAAACGAAAGTCCAAAACATGAGGGTGAGAAAGTACTGACAGAATTTTCATTTTGGGGTGAACTAACCCTTTAAAGGGATAGTTCACTTTGAAATTAATTTTTTAATATGTTTTAGCTTACCTCAAGGGCATCCAAGATGTAGGTGTCTTTGTTTCCACAGCATTTTCAATTTTGACATTTTTTGGTCAAACCGTTGTTGTCTGTCAGTCATACACTGGAGGCTAAGGGGGTCCACCTCAAAGAGCATGCACAGAGAAGTCCAAATTAAACATGATTTAATGACTCGTAAATGTAAGTACACATTGATGGCCTAAGACACGAAACGAGCGGTTTGTGTGAGAAAACTAACAGTATTTATATCGTTTTACCTCTTGTAATCATAGCCATGACAAAATGATCTGACGGCACGGGCGCTTCGGTCTGCGCATGCGTCGGAAGTGATCGTTTGCACGCCTACGTCACTCTTTGTTTATACAGAGATTTCTGAAGTTTTACCTTTGACTAAACATATTTAGATATACGGGAAACCGCAATGGAAGACGATTTGGGTATATCTAAATATGTTTAGTAAAAGGTAAATCTCCGTGTAAATATTGAGTGACGTCACACCCAAGCGATCACTTCCGGCGTAACATTGAACTAATTCAGTTCGGTTCAGTTGGACATTGAACAACTGATTCAGATCACTGTGATTACACGAGGTAAAAACGATATAAATACTGTTGGTTTTCTCACACAAACCGCTCGTTTCGTGTCTTAGGCCATCAATGTGTACTTACATTTACGAGTCATTAAATCATGTTTAATTTTGACTTCTCTGTGCATGCTTTTTGGTGGACCCCCTTAGCCTCCAGTGTACGACTCATAGACAACAACGGTTTGACTGAAAAACGTCAAAATTGAAAGTACTGTGGAAACAAAGACACCTACATCTTGGATGCCCTTGAGGTAAGATAAAACATACCAAAAATTAATTTTAAAGTGAACTATCCCTTTAAGCAGAACTAAATGAAACAATCAAAAGATGAACCTGCAACATGGTGTAAAAACAGTGCACTGGATGTTTCAGAATACCTCCTGCTCTTTCTTGATCTCTCTGGACTGTCTGTCTCTGAGCTCGGTTTTCTCCATTTGAACTCGAGTCAGCAGCTCACCCAGGTCATGAGTCTTCTGCTCCGACAGAGCAAGAGCAGCCTCCGTCATCTGCAGTCTTGAACAACACCACAAACACACTTTACCTTCGTGAAACATCCCAAAGTACAAAAAATAACAACTTAACTAGAACATGAATGGATGCCTACTTGGCTGTGAGAGAATTCACAGATGATTTCTGCTCACTCAGTGCTTCTTTTAACTGCTCTAGACGCATCGATGAATTTCTGCAAGATATCCAAAAACCACATGCTGTCATCATTCGATCATTCAATCACCCAAAAAGCAGGTTTGGTTCAACTTAGTAACACCAACCTGCTGCTTCTTCCCATCTCATCTTTCTGTCTGTCAATGGTATCCATGAGACTAAGAAACTTCAGGCCACATGGAGAGAAGGGCTGTTAGTTGTCAATCCACCCACAGTTAAAGCGAATAATCCCAGCCACCCTCACCTGCCGGCCCTTCTCCTCCTTTAGGAGCTGGATCTCTTTGGTGAGCACTTGAGTCCTGCTCCGGCTGTCTCGAAGTGTGGACTGCCTGTCTGCGTTGTGATTCATGGACTGTTCTGGGAATAAGAATAAGACACGAATTTAACACCGCCATGTTAATGTTGCTCTAAAGCCGCTCTCTGTCTGCTCTATTTGTTTTTTTATAAAAATTCTTTGTATTAAAGCTGCAGTAAGAGATAAGAAAGCAGATTGGACACACACTTGTAGCCAATCAGCAGTAGGGGGCGTGTCCACTCATTATGGGGGAGGAGAGAGAGAAAGTGAGGAAGATTTGAAAAAAAAAAGACTGTAGAAAGATAAATGGCTGAGAGACATTATAAAAGAGAAAAGCACATCACTGGAAAAAAAGGGTTATGATCAGGCAAGAGCTTCAGGACACGTGTTATTATTAGAAAAGCTTTCCAGTGCTGGAGAGACTTAAAGGAGTAGTTCACTTTTAAAAAAACTTTTGCTGATTATTTACTCATCCCCATGTCATCCAAGATGTCCATGTCTTTCTTTCTTCAGTCGAAAAGAAATTAAGGTTTTTGATGAAAATTTTCCAGGATTTTTCTCCATATAATGGACTTCAATGGGAACCAAACGGTTCAAGTTCAAAGGGCTTTAAACGATTCCAGACGATGAATCAAGCGAAATCAAGCGGGTCTTATCAAGCGAAACGGTCGCTCATTTAATAAATAAATAAAAAGTTTAAGTTTCATAAGCACAAATGGTCGCCTTCTCGTGACTCTCCTCTTCGAACTCATTAAATCATCAAAACGAACAAATCTTTTCCTGAGTTAACTTGTTCATTTCGTTCGTTGAATGAACCAAATGACACAAAAAAAGATTCGTTCATTTTGATGAACGAGTTCAAACAGGAGAGTCACAAACGCACATCACAGAACAGAGCAAGGCGACCATTTGAGCTTATAAAACTTAAACTTTATTTTTGTTTTTAAATGAGCGATCGTTTCGCTTGATAAGACTCTTATTCATCATCTGGTGTCGTTTAAAGCCCTTTGAAGCTGCAGTGAAACTGTCTTTTGGATCTTGAACCGTTTGGTTTCCATTGAAGTCCATTATATGGAGAAAAATCCTGGAATGTTTTAATCAAAAACCTTAATTTCTTTTCGACTAAAGAAAGAATGACATGGACATCTTGGATGACATGGGGGTGAATAAAATATCAGCAGAAGTTTTTGTAAAAGTGAACTACTCCTTTAAGCAGGAAGGCTTGAAAACAGACGCAGAGATTGTGTTGTTTCTGCTCCATGTGTGACTACATTGGTTTTACTGTGTTTCACAGAATCAAGATCTGCTGTTGTTGTAATGTAAGCTACAGTAACAAGACAGTTTTGAGTGTCATTGTTTGTCTGGAGCTGCTGGTGACTATTTCTTGCTTGTATACTCTTGTGTACTGTATGTAAGTTAATCATTTTTACTATTCAGTACTGCACCTTTACAGCAAGACACTACAGGTAAAACCATTGTTTTTCAGCCATGTGTCAAGTTTTGAGATTTTGGGCTATTTTGCTATTTTAATATCTTCTTTCAGACTAGTAGAAAGAAAACATCCAAAGTAAACATTTAAGTGTTGTGTGTCTGTAAATTTCAATTACAACACATTTCGGTAAAAAGCATTTTACAGTTTTATGCCAATCTATATTCTGAATGTTTTTGCAGAGGAGTTTGATCATTTATATAGTACTTTATTCCTAAAATCATTATAAAACAGTATTTTCTGATTTATGCAATCCTCTCTGTAAAAACCTTGAATGTGTAAACAAAATGAAACAAAAATTTTGAACCCAGCTTTATCCAGTGTTCAGATCTCTGTACTGAAAATGTATGCAAAAATATTATTGCCTTAACATTTCAAAAACCTTATAATACAAAACAATTGTCTTAATGTGATTAATCATCCAGGGAGAGTATGGTGAGATCTACCCTATTCACCTGTAGTGTCTTGCCTTAAATGTGTGTAACATCTGCGGTTGAGAATCAGCCTCACCGATGGCTCTGAGCGTGTCACTGGGAATGTTGTTTCCAGCCATCTCCAGTTTGACCAGTGTGCGGTTCTGCTGCATTGCCTCCAGCAGAGATCGGCCTCCCAGCAGCCCCAAGTTGTTCCATCTGACGTCTGCAAACACATCACACTCGACTTATGATTTTGAACTATACTTTTATAGACACTGCAGTCAAAATGAACCATTTCTAGAACAGTGGATCTCAACATTTTGATTTCATTGTTTATTTGAAGGCCCTCCTCATTCACAATTTCTACACAATAAATACATTTTAGAGCTTGGCATAACTAGAAATATGTATATTATTCGTTATGAAAAAATAACGAATAATATACCTATACCAAATAATAATAAAAATCTTGATTTCTAGTTGTTTTAGCTTATTTTCATGGTTATTTGAAATACTTATAAGTTATCTTGAGGCCGGCTGAGAGCCACTGTTCAACAGTAATAATTGTAGAGATGGCCATCAATAGAAAAATTAACATGCTTTTCAAGACTTTTCAAAATGTAATCATTTCACATTATTGTTTCCAGGTCAGAAATAATCTTTTTAAAATTATTTTTCATGTCTGCACAAATGACGTCATGGACTTTAGATGTTTAGATCTATGATAATTAAGTTTTACCACAAAGGCTGTAATGAATTAATAACATACATGTGTGATGTTATAAAGATTTCTATTTCAAATAAATGCTGCTATTTTGATCTTTCTATTAATTAAAGAATCCAGAATAAAAATAATAATCAGAGTTTCCATAAAAATATGAAGCAGCACAACTGTTTTCAACACTGATAATAATCAGAAATGTCAGATCATCATATTAGAGTGATTTCACAAGGATCATGTAACACTGAAGACTGGAGTAATGATGCTGAAAATTCAGCTTTAATCACAGGAATAAATTACATTTTACTATATATTCAAATAGAAAATATTTATTTTAGATTTTCTTCAATGGGACATTTCAGTTACTAATTTTTTTTTTTAAAAGTTAGACCTGTTAACATTCATAGAAAGCATATTAAATATATTTAAATGATTAGCCAGATTTATTAATAAAGATATGGATACAGACAATAACCCATATACTGAGAAATATTGCACCCACCACACAGTTGGTTTAAAAAACGAGCGACTGGCATCTTCTTGCTAAACAATTACACTATTTATCAGCCTCAAAGAAGTGGGACAACAACATCAGAACAACACACAGTGCTGGTTGACAGACAACACTGAGTGTCTATTGTGTTGTTTCACTCACCCAGCTCTTGCAGAGTGCTGTTCCTCTTGAGCGCCACACACAGCGCCGCGGCCCCCTGGTGGTTCATCTGATTGTTGCGCAGGTCGAGCTGGGTGAGAGAGGTGCTGGACGCCAGACCTTCACAAAACATGGAAAATCCTTCCTCCCACATTCCCAGAGCATTCCACTCCAGCACAAGTCTCCAGGCAAAACAGAAACAATCATACGATATTTTACAATATTTACAACAGAACTAAATCCTAAAAGATTTTTCGGAGATTAAATGATGGTGGCAAAACCCTTTAAGACTAATTGCACTTGCAAAAATTACATTTTTAGAAAACAAATACATATGCTCAAAATTAGTATAAAATTCTAAATAATAAGAGTATTAGGGATCAAACTAAAATAATAAACATAGGCACTATGATAAAATAGTAACGCTTCCTTTTACAGTACAGTACTTACAGTGTACATACCTAGAACGTACTGGCTAATATAAGGTAAGTACATGGAAAGAAATTCAGGTTTTTGATGAAAACATTCCAGGATTTTTCTCCATATAATGGACTTCAATGGGAACCAAACGGTTCATGGTCCAAATGAGAGTTTCAGTGCAGCTTCAAAAGGCTTTAAACGACACCAGACGATGAATAAGGGTCTTATCAAGCGAAACGATCGCTCATTTCAAAAATAAATAAAATAGTTTGAGTTTTAGGGGTAGGTTCAGGGTAAGTACCTAGTTATTACCCAGTAATTGTAATTACTAAAATAAGTACTGAGTATGTACATGGGTAACTGGACTGTAAAAGGAAGCGTTACCGTTAAAATAATACATTTTAACTGCTGTGCTATGACATGGTCATTTTTGGTACTGAATCAAAATTGTCCCTATTTGCACAAATTCATTTTTTTGTGTGCCAGATTCATAGTTGCCTGTAAATAAAAACATTGCCAGTGTATTATTTTAATTAAAAAGTAAAACTCTCCACTTGATGTGATGAAATCCTCTTACTTTAGATTTAAATGTTAGATAATATAGAAATGTGCGTTCAAATTAAGACACATAAACGGTTTAGAAACTTTCAGGAAAATCAATCGTTCGAATAAACCAAACCATTATAAACGAATATTAAAAGTCCCTCACCTGCGCAGCGTCTTGTTCCTCACTAATAACTGGCCCAAAGCCTCAGCTCCTGTTCCTCTCATGTTGTTGCCCTGAAGAGAAAGCATGTCTTTAGGAAATACATTATAAACTAAGTATACATTTAAAAGCAAGAGGCAAACCAGTAAAATATGTACATATATTAATACACAGTTTAAATTCACCTTCAGGTCCAAAACTTTCACTGTGGTGTTGGAGCAAAGCCCATTGAGAAGCAGCTTGGCACCTGTGGATGGCAGGAACAGTGTGAGGGGTTTTGAGTGTTAAAGGAGTAGTTCACTTTTAAAAAAATGTTTGCTGATAATTTACTCACCCCCATGTCATCCAAGATGTCCATGTCTTTCTTTCTTCAGTCGAAAAGAAATTCAGGTTTTTGATGAAAACATTCAAGGATTTTTCTCCATATAACGGACTTTAATGGGAACCAAACAGTTCATGGTCCAAATGAGAGTTTCAGTGCAGCTTCTAGTGGCTTTAAACGACACCAGACGATGAATAAGGGTCCTATCAAGCGAATCGATCGCTCATTTCAAAAATAAATAAAAAAGTTTTGAGTTTTATAAGCACAAATGCTCGCCTTGCTCTGTTCTGTGATGCGCGTTCGTGACTCTCCTGTTCGAACTCATTCATCAAAATGAACGAATCTTTTTTCGAGTCATGACTCGAAGGGTCCTAGATAAGTCCCTTATTCATCGTCTGGTGTCCTTTAAAGCCACTTGAAGCTGCACTGAAACTGTCTTTTGAACCTTGAACTATTTGGTTCCCATTGAAGTCCATTATATGGAGAAAAATCATCAAAAACCTTAATTTCTTTTCGACTGAAGAAAGAAAGACATGGACATCTTGGATGACATGGGGGTGAGTAAATTATCAGCAAAAGTTTTTTTTTTAAAGTGAACTACTGCTTTAATTTTGCAACTGGAGCTTGAGGGAAATAGTTTTAAAGTTTAGCGTTGATCAATTCGCCGTTTCATGTTGTATTTTTATTGGCTAGTCACCAGATGTAGGTCGTAGCAGCAAACACACTGCGAGATGATCATGATAAAGTTCTGACTGTCTGAATATTATCACAGGCTATCTTTGGTCATAAGACCGTGACATAAAATTAAGAGCCACAACCACAGAAACCGCCACGATTCGTCATCCTCAGTCTGGGACAGCCAAAAATCATACAATGTGTACCGGGAATAAAAGATCCATGCTTCGTTTTTAGATTTTGAGCAAATATCACAAAACGGTCCAAAAACAAGTCCAGGTCATATTTCACCCAAAACCAAAAGAAAAAAACGTATCTTATAAAGCGCATTTATATATAGTTTAATTTATAATAATTTGTATTCATTTATTTTTAGGGCTGTCAAACGATTAATTGCGATTAATTGCATCCAAAATAAAAGTTTTTGTTTACATAATATGTGGGTGCACTGTGTATAATTATTTTATATATATAAATACACACACATACATGTATATTTAAGAAAAAAATATTATTTATATAAAAATATTTATATATAATATAAATTATATATAAATCTATCTGTAGTATATTCATGAAAATATTTCTTAAATATATACAAGCATGTGTGTGTATTTATATATATAAAATAATTATACACAATGCACCCACATAAATTATGGAAACACAAACTTTTATTTTGGATGCGATTAATTGCGATTAATCGTTTGACAGCCCTATTTATTTTGTATTGTGACTATTTTCATGCCACAATTTACTGATAAATTGTAATTCATGCAGATCTTACTAAACAGTCATTTTTACAATAGCCAAAAAATGTATCTAAATAAAAACATTTTTTTGCTTTATGCAATACACAATTTCTTATTTTCCGTTTCTTGAGATTTTCAGGATTTTTCTGCGAGTTACCTTCCTCGCTGAGCATGCAGTCGCTGAGGATGATCTCGGTGAAGAGCGTGTCGTTCTGCAGTGCTCTTCCCAGCACGCCGCAGGTGTCCACGCTGATGCTTTGCCCGCTCAGGTCCAGTCGACAGACGCCCGTCACCGTCCTCGTGTCGTGCAGCTGAGCCAGCACTGACTCCTGAGTGTCGATTCCTCCCTCCTTACACAGCCTCTGGTACGACCTCCTGAAGTCCTCCATGACCTCCGTCACCTCTCACTGGGCTGTGGAGAAAAGAAAATGTAAAACACAACAGGAGAGAATGTTATTGAAATGGTCCATCAAGTGTCATCAAAATGAATTACAATTTTGTATTTTAAACTGTTTCTGCCTGGTTCATTGATTAACCAATAACTATATAAACTCTATATTACTGTCCTTTATATGGCATTGAGTTTTTGGTTACACTTTAAATGTATCTACATCAAAAATGTTAGGTACAACGTACCTCTTGTGTTCATGTTGTATTGCAAAACACTTTTGCAGGTAAGGTTAGGGGCAGGTATGTAGGTATTGGTAGGTTTAAGGGTGGGTTAAGGGGTAAGGGAAGGTCAACATTGTTAATATAGATTTAATTACACAGATATAATCCTTACACAATGTACAAACCTGTATGTACACAGTAAGTGCATAGTATCAAATGATTAATTTAAATCTTAGTATATAGCAGTTAAAGACACTTAATGTAAAGTGTGACCGATTTATTATTATTATTATTATTATTCACAACAAATTCAAGACGGTTAAAAAAGAGCAGAGTAACAGTCAGTTAACTAACGACAAAGTACTGGAATATTTACTAATCTCTTCTCCCAAAATCAATGCTTATTAGACCAAAAATATAAATAAATGGTAATGAATATATTATAATTTATTTCCCGTTTGTGATAAGAGGGCTAAAGAAATAAATAAACATCTTCAAGCATATATACCGGTGCGTTGTTTTCATTTACTTGCAATCGAGTCTTACATGTGCAAAAATCATTTGCGCGCAACATTCGGTTTACAAGAGATGAAGAGTCATAAAATGACAACTAACCTTTCTTTCTGCCGTCAAAATGCATAACTTTATTCAGGGTTGTGGCAGCAGATGTTTGTTCAGCCTATCTTCACTATTGTTTCGTTTGACAGTTTAAAGCATCCAGGAAGAGAAACGACTTCCGGTTTGAAACTGCAGAATTGAGGGAAATGTAGTTTTAGATGAGTCAAATATTGCGGTAAATTTCAAGAGGCTAGGCAACTTAGCAAGATTTTCGTGTATCACAAAAGGGAGAAAATATAATCTATATAATAATAACAAGTGTCTATAGCTATTAAACGTTGTTTGACAAAGTGAAACTTTTTTTTAGATGTAGTTCTATGTTGACTGTTAGGCTGACTGAAGATGAACCCTCATTCATCATATTTTATTTTACTTTTTTAAATATTTTCAATAATTAGCATGTAGCTTAGTACATGAATAAAGATAACTTTTTTTAACCAATATAGCTTACCGTCCTCACCACTAAGAGTAAATCGAAGCATTTATCTACTGTACAAAACAGATTGTGATACCGAAATGATATAACAATATTCATAATTTATCTTACATGTACAGTTGTGAATGATTGTGATAAAGACACCCCAAGCTATTAGTGGCGAAAATTAGTGGTCCTGTGTCAAAATATGGCTAATCGATGTCACCAGTTTTCTGAATTCTGACAGCTTTATGATTTCTTATAATTAGTTTGTGAGCCAAACTGATCTTGGTTTAATAGGCCTACTTTAAAAAAGCACACTAATAAAAATAGTAAACTACTGAAAATAGCACAGATCAAAACAATTTTCTAATTGTACTTAATATTTTCACAAACTGAAAATATACTTTACTGTATATATTAGGCTAATATATTTATATAATTTATAATAATATAATTATAATATAATTTAGTCACGTGGTATGCAAGACGTGTGTTTTTTCAGAAGACCGTTTAAAATTGTGCGCAAAACAATTCCGCACCATGTTTAGGCCGTCTATATTACATACAAACATACTGACAACATTGAAAGCATAAGTACATGTTCTTCGTGGATAAGTAGAAGAAGAGCCCGCGAACAAGTAGCATCAGTTTAACTACTCGCCAGAGCTCAGCCAATCAAATTTAGGAAATGACTGGTAAGTAACATTAAATTTAGATTATCAAAATTATACGTTAAATTTCTCTGACAAGAAACAAGGTTTTCGTATTGTGTATTTAGTAGCCTACATAAACACAAATTAGTACAAATTGTATAACGTTACCGAGTGTTCAACTAAATTTTAACGGTTGTTTTTAAAAGTAGATCCTCGTTGGCGGTTAACGTTAACGTACATACACTGACTGGAAGATGTTTCTTTATTCCTTTATGATTTCAGTTTTTTAATGCCTTACGTTAAGATTTTGTGGTATACTGTATGTGAATCACGCTGTTTTTAATCTATATTGTTTACCGTAGAACTAAGTAACCACAAAGAGTAAACAAAGTAAATTTTATCAATAAATACAGAAATATATATATATATATATATATATATATATATATATTATACAAGGCAAATGATAATTAATGTGTTCAATAAAGCAGCAAACAAATTTGCCCTCCCTAGTTGTTGTAGGATATTGATAATCTCGATGATTAATCTAGAAACCTGAACATCTGTCTCCTGTTTTAAACTCTTGGAGGCTGAAAGAAGGAGAGGCCGTAAAAACAAAGCTCGGCACGCTGAACAAACTGTAATTTCTAGAAGCTCTGTTTTACCTGATCTGCTTTAAACTGTGTATCCCTTGCTTTTATTAGGTATGGATACCTTGAAACAACATAAGGATCTATGGAAGGTCTATAGGGAGGAACTACCCAGCAGCACTCAACAGTAAATAGTTTTATTTTATTCACTGCTTACACAGACTTTCATGCCTGCAGTTATATATATATATATATATATATATATATATATATATATATATATATATATAAAGTTTACTCACTTTAGGTGTCTAAATATCTAAAAATACAGAAGAGTTTTGGTTGGACGATCATATATTGAATTTCTATAATGCAGGCAAATAAAGCTAGCATATAATTGTGTTTTCATTGTAATTAGCGTAATATTTTGACCTACGCCAAGCCATATATAAAAATTAGCATATTACAGGATTTATGCTTTGTTAAAGAACTGCTATGTGTGATTATAAATCACTTAGCTGTGATTAGGGGTGGTGTTTTAATCAGTAACTTTTCCAGCTCGTTTAGGTTAGTGGTCGAATACTCATGGTACCATGCGCTTTCATGATAAATTATATAAATTACTATTACACAGTGGAATGGATGACACTCTGTTGTTAAATATCAGTGTTTCAGTGTTACCCTTATTGCACGTTATTAAAAATAAAAGTGAAAAAAAGCTTCTTCTTTTTTAGCTTTTAACATCAGCATGAAAATAAATGGGAAACGCTTTTCCATTTTAGAAGTTTCTAAACATAGAAGTTTTAATTATTTTTCCAATACAAATGCAGTGATTATTTGATAGTTTCATTTTAATAATTTATCAAATTGCGTTTTCCTCCCTTGCCCACACAACTCTATCAGAACAAATATGTTACCTTTTTTAGGTTAAGAGAGTCTCTTTATTAACTACACAAAAAAATGCTACAAGTTTTTCTAGAAAATTTAGAACAAACAATGTGCATCAGGTGTGTTTAGCTTTTTTATGTGTTTAATTAATTTATGAGGCCACTTCGCCATTTATTATCTTGTTATGTTGCAATACTATTACATTCTGTGCAGACAATTAGCTTATTTTGTTGTAAAAATGTGCTGCTAAACGTCACCATACAGTAGTGTTGTATTGTGCCACGTTTCTCACCGACACGCACTCGTAAACTCTGGGCTTAAAGAAAATTCAGAGCTTCCCCACTTGTATTTACCACTTTGTGGTGACATTCATATGGGTTCAAGACACATTTAGAAAGTACTTGCAATTGCTGTTTGCTCCACAGGGCGTCTCTGTCACTGTCTCAAAACCTACTTCTGCTCCTCTGTATTCCCTCTGTCTTTCTTTTTCTCCATGCATTTGCTGGTAATGGTCATTTTGATAATCAATGTTGAATCACAGCTGCTGTATGACTCTTTACATACATATTTTCCCTCTCTTCTCCATTAAATCTTTAGTTTTGCAGACCGGCGGAGTGTCCGTGTCTTGGAGTCATTGAAGTCGAGTCATCTGAGTTCAATGAAATCGTTCTTCAAGCAGCGTTCTGTGATATCCAAACCCAAAAGACGAGCATGTGACCGAGTCTCAGCGATCTCTATGAGTTTTGATGAGTTCTTCTCCTCTCTGAAAGAAGCGACAGGCAAAGACTACCAGAGAAGTGACGTGGAGGAGTTATTCAATGAGGCCAGTTATCTTCAATTTGTGGTTATTTACTTTAACTTGTCAGGAAAAAACAAGCTTAGGTCAGTTGTGGACATCGGTGTTTAAAGGGGTCATGAACTGGCTTTTTCAGTTTTATTATATTGCTGTCTGAGGTCAACTTATTACGTTCTCTTGGTTTTTACATTCAAAAACATCAAAATTAATAAGTAATAGGCTATTTTGTACTCTAGTTTTGAGCCTAGCTGAAAAACGCTGGGTTTTTATGGGCGTCTCGGACTGAAGACTTGGAAGTAAACGCCCACTGATGTGAGTGGAGAACAGTTTTGCATATTATAACGAGTTTCGACTCATCCGTCGGTGCACGTGGGGGGAATTGTTTTCCATTTTGGAAAATGGCAACCGGAATGATTCGCCCATACATGTTCGACCCAGAGTCTGTGTGTTGCACCATTCTTGTCAGATCCAATATAGACGGCACTGCAAATCCAGTCTTGTTCACAAAACAATCCTCAGTGAAATGAAGCGAACAGACGGATAATGTTTTACCTCATCAGCTGGAACGGCATTAAAAATAAAGTTTATCCATGCAGTCCTATTGGAATCCAGAGGAAGCTTACACAGCGACTGTCTTCTTCCACAACCAGGCGCTGCACAATATTCTGTATTGCTCGGTAGCTCGATCCGGTTTGTCATCACGAGGTAGGCATCTATGTTATTTAGCTATGCGTATAATGCACGAATCGGTGGGCGGGGCTAACGGCTGTGTTGAAGTAGGCGTTGATCTTCTCCTGCGGGGGTGGTGTTTTATCCTCTTTGACGTCATAGTTCCCCTCTGTTTGCTGAGGCTGGTGTCAATAAAAGCTTTTATTGAACTAACAAGGACGTTTTCAGTTCTGAAACTTACAGGATATTCTTATGACCTCTTAGATGTCAAAAGCTCAAGGAGAATTTGATTTCTCATCGACTCTTTAAAACACAACTTGCTATGCCTGTCTTTTCATGAGGAGAGTTACATGTGCCTGTTTGGGCTCTATTATATGACCAGCTATCATTTCAGAATGTCTTCTTTTGTACAGATGGACATCTCTTGCGATGGTCGTGTAGGATGGCAAACGTTCCTCACCTTAATGTTTCAGCATTACAATCATATCATAGACGCGATGCAGGCATTTGAAAATGTACCCATCTCACAGCCTTTAATACGCCACTGTACCTATAACAAGGTGACAGCTGACAACTTTATGCAGCATTTTTAACTTTGTGGCCATTAATTATGTTGCCTTGTCAAAACCACATGTTATTACTGTTATTATTCAGTCTGTCTGTCTGTCTGTCTGTCTATCTATCTATCTATCTATCTATCTATCTATCTATCTATCTATCTATCTATCTATCTATCTATCTATCTATCTATCTATCTATCTATCTATCAGCTTTTTCTATCTACCTGTGTCTGTCTATCTATCTTAGGGCTGTCGAACAATTAATCGCATTCAAAATAAAATTTTGTGTTTACATAATATATGTGGGTGCACTGTGTATAATTATTGTATATATATAAATACACACACACATGCTTGTATATATTTAAGAAACATTTTCAAGTATATACTGTCAAAGTGTCTGGTTGTGTTTCCCTTGTTTAGCACTAGAGGTCCTCATTCTCACTGTGTCCTTCACGTTTAACTGCATTTCCCAGCATTCTGTCTGTCACAAACACATACACAGGGAACAGATATCCAAGAGCAGCAGTTCATTGGTAGGGTAATCCAAATCTCATAGTCAGCCAGGCAAGGGTCAAAATCTAATAAAGCAGTCCAATGATAACGGGGAACAGCTGAGTGCAATGAGCTGATGAGTGATAGTGAGTGACAGACAGAATGCTGGGAAATGCAGTTAAATGTGAAGCACACAGTGAGAACGAGGACCTCTAGTGCTAAACAAGGGAAACACAACCAGACACTGTGACATATACTGTATATATAGATTTATAAATAATTTATATTATATATAAATATTTTATAAATAAATAATATATTTTTTCTTAAATATATACAAGCATGTGGGTGTATTTATATATATATATATATATATACACACACAAAATAATTATACACATTGCACCCACGTATATTATGTAAACACAAACTTTTATTTTGGATGCGATTAATCGTTTGACAGCCCAAATATATATCATTTTATTTTTGTTTTAGTCTCTTAGAATATGCGTAAAAAAAATATTATTTCACTGTCTTTCTACTATTCTAATTACTCACTCGTTACATCAGCGAGAGCCTATCACACGTGTCTTGGCTTTGAGTCAGTCTCCACCTATGCATTACATCAGCGTCGGCAAGAGAGGAACTCTCGTTGTGTGGAACAGTGATCTGAACAACATGAAACCACTGGAGGTGACATATTAACATTTAATGCACATGATTAAATGAGTTTCAAAAGCTTCATGAGTCCAAAACCTCTCCTTCATCCCTATAGATGAATGTAGGCCGCTTTAATAAAAGGCAAAAATCCATCCCAAAGTTCCAGGAATGGACCACCGATGCTGTCTACATGGGAAATGTTCACAAGATGGCTGTGTCAACCCTGAGCAGGGGCATCCACTTCTTTGACGTTACCACTACATTTGGTTCTGAGCAGGTTCATTTGTTTGGTATGAGCCAACAAATCTGCTAGATGAAGTAGTTTGCTTTTCTGCTTACATTTTGACCTTGTTGTCTTCTTCTGTCTGTTATTTTCAGGACTGAGTCATACTGCTACTGCTCTTTGTTATTGGTATGACACAGAGGTAGG